TGTGTCTCTCTCTCTCTCTCTCTCTCTCTCTCTCTCTCTCTCTCTCCTCACTTACTAAACAAACAAACAAACAAACAAACAAAAAACCCAATAAGGATCTGATGATAAGAGCCAGGCAGGCCATTTCTGCACTGGTGATTCTCAAAGCTACACAAACACTTTACAATAGGTACACACTACTTAGTGAGCAAAGCACCTTTGAAAGGTCACAGGCTCCCAGTGCAGTTCTGGCATTTGTCCAAGTCATTTTGTGCAAACAAGAATATCTGATCATCCAATGTTGTAATGAGTATTTGCTTATCTTTATTTTCTCCTGAGAGACCATCAGTTTTGGTTAAGTGATTAGTAAAAGAAAGTTAGAAGGGTAGGTATTATCAAGCTCTTTTTCAGGTGTCTATTTATCTATTTATAAGTAACCACATTATTCCTCAAAAAAAAATTAGGCTCTTTTTGCATGTTTACAATAAATGAGCCAAGACATTATTGATAGAATACCCAAACAATTAAGATTGCCCTAAAATAGCTAAACTCTCAGTTAAAGTAAATGAGCTAATACTGATATATACAGAAATCTGCATTAAATGTCTTTCTCTTTATTTGGTACAAAACAGCTGAATAAAATTGCTGAAGCTTCATTCTCTTTAGTGCAGAAATAAACCTTGGTATTTGATGCTGTTGTCTATGAACTAGTTCTCTCCTGTGAGTGGTTCGTCAGTGAGAATTGCTGTGTAACAAATTAACCCCCAAACTTAGAAACTAAAAAATATATCTGGGTCACGAATCTCAGTGTTGCTTAGCTTTGTGTCCCTGGGCTATGTCTCTAAGAAGGTTGGAATGAAGTTGGTGACCAAGGCTGTAGTCATTTCAAGGGTCAACTGGGAGAGGATCTGCCTTCAAGATGATTCAAATGATTATTGGCAGGCTTCAGAAGATCCACTTCCTAGTTCACTCACATGCCTGCTAGTAAACATTAGCTTTTAACTGACTGCTAACTGGAATCTTCCCTCAGTTCATTTTTTTTGCCATGTGACTTCTCCATAGTGTAGCTAAAAATATGGTTACTGGCTTCCCTCCAATAAAGCAATTAAGAGAGCAAGAGTAAATCTCACAAGTGACATCCATCATTTTTTCTGTGTTCAATTAATTGAGTGCAAGTCACTAGGTCTAGGTGAACAGATTTCAAAGGGAAAAAATATACTAGGAATTGGGGAGCATTGAGCACTATAACACATGCTACAGTCTGGCTTCATTTTTAAAAAATCATTGCTATTCTCAAAAATTCCAGTTATCTCATAGAATAATCCTCTGTTTGGTTTGATCTCAAGTTTTCAATTTTCTATATTTTTCATATGGGCACACAGCATATTTTATTTATGAAAATCAGGACACATAAAGCACAAAGGTTTTACAGAATGTTGGAAAACTGTACTTATTGAATGTATGAAAGATAAAACCAAATCCCTTCAATGTGCCTTTTATCTGATAAAGTTTGAAACACTGGAAGAAAACTAATGATATACTTAAATATCTCTTGGAAATAGCAAAGGATTGAATACAAAGCAGTGCTGATCTGTTCTTAAGATTATGTTTACTTTTGAAATATATAGTTGAATTTTTATGTTAAATGGAATTGAATTGTGTCCTAATAATATTTATTTAGAGTAACCTAGCAATAATACTATTGTACCACAAAAACTATAAGATACCTGGTTTCTTTGGTTTTAATTTAACTTTCAAGAGCAAGTGACATAAAATCAGATAATGAGAAATTTGTGAGAAGTTCTTTAAGGATTAGATACTTGATGCCATGGGTGGATAGAACCATAAGGGTAAGCAATAGTTAGGGGTGGAAAGATTTCTTTAACTGGTTTTCAATTATTTCAAATTAACTGATGAAAATTGCATATTTACTTGTGCTGGGGCTATATAAACTAAATAATTAGTTTCTTTGCTTTTGTTGTTAGTTATCTCATTTGAATATGCACATTGTTACATATAAGAAACTCTCCTTGGGATAGATCTGTGTGCGTAAATATTTATTGTGTGTGTAAATATTTATATATATTCATCAGCACAAGTGGCCAAATAAAACATTGTTGAATAAATTCGGTTGAATGCCCAACACACATAAATACTACTAGTTTTTAAAAAATTGTTGAAAACAACTAGTTCAACTCAGACAAAAGTCCAGGCTCCCTGGAACAGTAGGAATCTTTCTGCTTTGGGCTACAGAGCTTCTCTTCAGAGCCAATATAGCTATAAATGACACTGAGTCACAAATCATAGGAGATTTGGAAGCCACTGGCCATGTGCCCTCATCACCAAAACATAGGCAAGAATTCTGGGGAGTATTCTGTGTACTTCCATCACTTCGAGCTAAATCAAATTCCTCATAGCTGTTCATAGTGGCAATATTAATAATACATTTGGGGTTTTAATCACTGTTAATGCATTATAACATGCCCAGAAAAATTTAGCTATTTTAAATGAATATTTAGAAGGGATGTGGCAAATGTACATAGTCACATACATACCATCAAAGGTGCAGGAAATTACCATTGCCCCAAATTTCCCTGTGTCCTTTTGTAAATACCCTGCTCCCAACTCTTGCAATATTTGATGTTCTTTCTGTTATAGTTGTACCTTTTCTAGAATTTTGTACCCATGAAGTTATATAATACAATGTCTTTGTTATTGGCTTCTTTCACTCATCCTAATAATTTGGAGATTCAACAACATTGAGAGTATCCATAGTTTCTTTTTGTTGCTTGGGAGGACCATATTGTATGAATGGATCAATGCTTAGTCACATATGAATGCATAAACAAGTAGTGGTAGGTTTATTCCACTTTCTAGTTCTATGAACATGCACATATGTTGTCGACATATGTGTTCGTTTCTCTTGGGTAAGTGTCTAGAAGTGGAATTGGTTGATATTTGTTAATTAAATATTTTGCTTTACTATAAATTGTCAAAATAGCTTTCAAAGTGATTGTGCTATTTTACAATCTCACCATTAACCAACTCTTGATTTGAGTAGTTTTTTTAATTTTAACCACTCTATAATGTGTAACAATACCTCATTAAGGTTTTGATTTGTATTTCCTAATTTTTAGTACAGTTAAATATGTTTTTGAATGTTTTTTGATATTTATTTTTCTTATTTATGTCTTTCTCTCCCACTCTTATTTTCAAATTGCTTATCTTCTTAATGAGTAGTCTTTATTAATTCTAGATATAAGCCCTTTATGAGAAAGGGGACCATTTCCTCTGATATGTCTCTTGTCTTTTCATTTATAAAATATTTCAAAAATGAAAGATTCAATTTTTTAAGCTAAGAAATCCCTTACATTTAGCAATTCCCTAAGTTTTCTTCACATTTTATAATTTATTTGTTTTTTTTAGTTATACATGACAGTAGAATGTATTTTGACATATTATACATATGTGGAGTATAACTTCACATTCTTGTGGTTATACATAATGGGAAGTTTCAAATTTTGATGAAATCCAATTTGTGCACATTTTTATTTTATGGTATATGTTTTTTCATTTTTAAACCTAATGCTTTTTTATCTAAGAAACCTTTGCATAACACAAGGACAATTTTTTTCTCATGCTTTTCTTAATAATTGTATAATTTCTTATAGAAACATTTATTTTTAGTTGTGATCCAATTTAATTTTTTTTTCATACCATTACTTCTATGCTGTTCCACTGTACCATCTTTCTAATTTTATGTCAATACTGCAAAGACTTCCTTTATAATGATTTATAATAACTTTTGAAATTAGTTTGTATGAGTATTTCAAATTTGTTCTTACTTTTGAAAAAATCATTTTGGCTATTTTAGACTGTTTGCATTTTAATGAGAATTTGGACTTAGCTTATTAATTAATGGAAAAATAATATCTGCTATGGTTTGGATATAGGTTATTCCCCAAATGTCCATATGTGAGATCATGCAGGAATGTTCAGAGGTGAAATGATTAGATTTTGAGAGCTAATCTAATAAGAGGATTAATCCATTTGATGTTTTAGCAACTTGCTACTGTCCTGGGTATAGGTGAGTATAGGTAGGTACTGTGTGGCTAGAAAAAGTAGGTCACTGGGGCCATGTGTTTGAGGTTTAAATTTTGTCTCTGGCAAATAGAGCTCTCTCTCTGCTTCTTGGCTGTCATGAACTGACCAGCTTTTCTCCCACCTTGTCCTTTCACCATATGTTCTGTCTCATCCTGCCCAAAGCTGTGGAGTTGGCCAACAATGAACTGAACCTCTGAAACCATGAGCCAAAATAAACTCTTCTAAGTTATTGTCAGATATTTTTGGTCACAGAAACGAAACACTAACTAAAACATTATCAAAATAAAAAAAATCCATAGGATTTGAACTTGAAAGGAATTAAATCTATAGATTAGAAAAAAATGAGATCCTACTATCATCTTCCAATCTATGAATAAGTTATATATTTCCATTGTTGTTGATGTTTATGTAATTTCTTTCAACAATGTCTTATAAAATTAACTGTACATATCTTGCACATATTTTAAACTATGTCATGCTCTCTGTGCTATTCTAATTGCTTTCATTAGAATTTCTAATGTTTAATATGACTGTATAGAAATAATATATTTTTGTACATTGCTTTTGTGAATGGTTACCCTGCAAAACTAATTTAATAGTTTCAATAGGTTTTAAGCAGATTAATGTTTCCTACTGAGAAGATAACATCTTTCTATGCAAAGTTTCTGTAAAACTTTCTATAGTTTTACATCATTTTTCCCTAATATTTATGCTTGTTATTTGTTTTTCTTCTTTACTACACTGGCTAGGACCTCCAATGGGTGGCCCATGATCACAGGGCATCATGGTTCTATCACTTATTGCACCATCCAGAAATGGCTGACCCTGGAAAGCAGTGAAACAACACAGCTGAAATGCCTGCTCAAAGACCACACTTTAAAAAATGGGTGTTGTTTTTCCTGTTGCATATTTGCATTAAACCAGACTTTATATAGTGCTTTGCTCTGAAGAATAAAATGAGTACCAAAAGGTGAAAAGCACAAGTTGTCCCATATACCATCAATCCTAATTCTAGGGTGGTTTGTGTCATCCAGCTGTACAACTCGAGTTTCTGTTGGCTTGAAGGTTGTGGCTCCCAGTGCTGCACACTCTTGTCAGACTCACTTAAAAGATCCCAAAGGGCCACAAATTATGGCAATTGTTAGTGTCTTTGGACTTGTTGTGACCAGGTACCTACAGGTGGAACAGAATGAGTAACACTGTGACTCTGAGGCTAAGTGGTCAAACAGGGCAATAATCCATTCCACTAACCTCCCTCTTCTAAATTTCTCTCAGAGAGATGCCCTTGCAAGCACGTAGGGGAACTGCTTCAACCTGCAGAAAGAAGGTATGTGGCGTACAGTGCGGCATGATGGCTATGACTTCCTGCCAAGATTGTAATTCACTGACAGCTTTACCTGCTGTCTTGCTGGCACCACCCAACATCTGTATAGAGGCAATAATGCTTCCTCCATGTCCTGCCTAGCAGTGATGCAGCACTACAGTAGTGCTTATACAGGCCCATTCCTGTGAGATGAGAGACTCCTTAGTGGAACACTTTGGTTTCAAGATTCCCCATCAACTCCTCTATTTTAAAATGGCGTTGCAGTGTGAAATTCCTCTGACCCCAAATCTTTCCTTTTCCTTTCCTTGATAGGTGTTGAATCAGCATAATAGTCTAAAAATCTCCCTGACTTCTCTGTATCTCTCTCCTTTATCTTTCACAGGCATTATCCCTTTAAATCACTTCTCTGTCTCATCCCATCCAGGCATATGCTTTTTGAAGGACTCAAACTAACACATAATCCAAATACAATAAATAATTATTTCTGACATCGAATTAGACTTAGAAAATATACAAATTGCCAAAGAAACATGTGAAAATAGCTTTGCATCATTAGTTATCAGAAAATATAAATTGAAACCATAATTATATATCATCTAACACATTAGCAGAACGAACACAAAAATACTGACAATAGTTGTTGGTGAAGACAATTTGCATGTGGAACTCTCATCCATTGCTGTTGATTACATAAAAGGCAATTACCACTTTGGAAATGAATTTACAATTTCTTATAGTTAACCAGACACCTATTATTTGAGGAAGAACTGTACTTCAAGTCATATACCCAATAAAAACGAAAGTCTATGTCTACAAAAAGACTTATACGGGAGTACTCAAGACAGATTTATTAATAACTGTGAAACTTGGTTTCAGCTGTATGTTCATCAATAAACAGTGAAAAAGATTCTGTAGAGGGGCTGGGGATATAGCTCAGTTGGTAGAGTGCTTGCCTTGCATGCGTAAGGCCCTGGGTTCAATCCCCGGAACTACCCGCCCCCCAAAAAAGATTCTGTAGAGTCATATAATAGAATATTTTTCATCAATAAAATGGAATGAAATGCTGAATCACAAAACAAGTTGGGTCTGTCTCAAAAATCAATGAACTACATGCAAAAGAGTATTTACTGTTCCATTTCCTTTGTGTACAAACCAAAAATGTTCAAATTAGTTTCTACTGACAGAAGGCAGATCAGTAGTTGTCTGGGTGGCCTGTAAAGGGGCCAAGGAAGTTTGTGCATGTGAAGGGAGTATCCTGATACCTGACAGTGGCAGTTGCTGATTGTGGGTGGGTCAGCTGTTAAAACTCATTGAATTTTTAGTTAAAATAATTAAATATTCTGTATATGGACTATACCTTAATTATTGATAAAATATTGCAGCACATTGGATTCATCAAATGTATTAAAAGTAAATGGTTGAATTCAATGACAAGCAACTCCCCTTGGTTTGAAGCTACTGTATCAACAAAGAAAAATAAACACAGATATAAAGATTTATTTAAAAAGTTTGAGTGTCAAAAATATTCAATACAGGGGAAAAGTTTATAATATGCCTCCTTTTCATATTTTCAAAACATAAGATGATGATCTGTGTTTTTGAAATTGCTGAGGCCTTATGAAGTGTTGCAGTTGTTTAGAAGAACAATCTTAAGCAGCGGTTACAGTCCCAATTTTCTTCTAGTATCTGATTTCATATAAATGCATCTTCTTGCATATGTACTCGAATTCAAGTTGTAAACAAACTTGAAAAATTACATCACTAGTAAATTATTAAAAATTCAGAGGATAAAGTTATTCTATATTCAGTAAATTTTTTAAAAGCATCATTACAACTTGTCTAAAAGACATTCCTGGAGATAATTCTGATTATTATGCTCATAAGTAATGATTCCATCATTTAAAATGAAATACTATTAAAGTTTTAAATGGTATATTAAAACAATATGTCATCTACTATATTTTTATAACTCTTAATAAATATGGATATATTAAAATTCAGTTTTATTCTAGTTTGTATCTAGAACAGCATTATATCTAACATTTCAATAACGTGTTTTCTTTCTAATGTTATGACTGGATGGATAGTTTATCTACAATGCTTTCTATAATAATAAGAATATAGTTATAGGTTGCATTTTAATAATTTATTTGGCAGTATTTTTACAGTAAGATATTATTGTTCCTACTATGATTCTTAGTAGATTACATTAAATGGGAGTGAGAGGATAGTCGAAGAAATGTTCAGGAATTGGTGAGTGAGCACCATCTTTCTCCTTCCCCACAAAATGAGTTTTCTGTCTTTAATTTTGAACATATATGTATATTTTTATATTTGTGAAGGATGATAATTTGTGATAAGGAATGTTATTGCTTGGGCTAAAAGGAAAAAAAGATTAGGCTGAAAATCCTGAAAGCTGATCAGACAGATTTATTTTACATTCTATAGTTGAAGATGCAAAAAACAACATGGTAATTAGTCTACCATCCTGTTCATGTATCCATGGCAAGATTTTAATGCCTATTCCATGCTTCCATTGTATTTAGAATCTTTTTCATTTAGTAGTTTGGCAGAAATAAATGGGCTGAGAAAATGCAGATGTAAGGACAGGGCTTTAGGTATGTTCAAGTTCCACAGGGTAACAAGGTGATGAAAAGTGGCTTTTTGACAATAAGGCTGGGGGGACTAGGGAAGAATAGTGTTACCTTAGATTAGGTAGAGGGAAGTGATGGGAAGGGAGGGGAGGAGATGTGGGATAGGAAAGACAGTAGAATGAAACTGACATTATTACTGTATGTATTTATGTGACTACATGACCAATAAGATTCTGCAACAGGAACACTCAGAAAAATGAGAAATTATATCCTATCTATGTATAATATATCAAAGTGTTTAAATGCATTTTACTGTCATGTATAGCTAATTAAAATAAATAAAAAATAAATAAAAATATATTTAATGTTGGAAGATTTCATATGAAAAACTGAGAAATTGCCACCAGAAAATGGATTGACAGACCGGAGGGCAAGAAGTCATCCATAGTTACTGACTTCTGAGAAGTTGGTATGGGTAGGATTCAGAGGAGAGTAAGATGGAGGATGTGAAAAATGCAGATAGACTAATAGGAAGTTGAGGGAATTATCTTCTGGTGAAACTTCTCGTGGGAATATATCATTTAAGTAAAAATGAAGTCATTAACTGACTTAGGTGTGTAGGAAAATCAGAGTTTGAAGTTGGGAAGACTTTTCAACTTTCAGAGAATATAAGAGTGATTTTATTAAAGACATTCAGAAGCGATAGCTGTTTAGCTCAAAAGTATTCTATAAGGCTTGCATGACAAAATAGGTGATGCATTGCTAAATTAGCTGAGACATGCTGAAATGGTACTTCATCTACCTTGTTCTTATAATTCTTAAAGAAAATAAATGATACAGTGATAAGATATAATTATTAACTGACATGACACATCATCTTTTATGAAACTTTCAGTGAATTCCAGCATTTTGTTTCAACTAATAATATATTTGGTCATTTAAGGATAGTATATTTCATCACTTAAGGAAACATTAAGTCACTATAGGAAGCCAGACACTTTAATTTAATTTTTTATATGTATAAAAGAAGCTGGTCAAAGTTTCTTGTTCAAATTCTCAACTGTCACACAATAAAAACAGAACTCAGAAATTTTTATTTTCCAGACCAATGATTCAGTCACACCAATAATGCACAAACAATTCTACCTGAAAAAATTGAGTTTAAATTTGGTAATAAATCAATCTAAAAACAACTTATAGATTCCTTTATGACAAATTTGGCTATTGGATTTATAACATTTTTGAGTAACTAGAAACTATTCTGTATATTCTATCATTTCAATCTTACAGATCTCAAACTATTCCTAAGTCCAAATTCTTAAGAAAGGCTTTGTATGAGGGGAGAAATTATCAACATATGCTAGATCTTCCAAAATGATCTTGTTTTAATTCACTATCTCAATCTTATTTCCTTTTATTCTATGTCACATATACAGAGCTCTTCTCCCCAAATTCTACAACTTGTTATTTAATAAGCCCAAACCCATTCTGTGACATAGCAAACATAAATCTTCTATAAAATACATGCATTTACAAAAATAAAAAAATTAAACCTCTTAAATTTTCTAACTACTGTTAGGTCTGACTCAAACATTACTTTTGTCAAGATGCCTTCTTCCATTATTTCTACAAATCAGTCATTTCATCGTGGGTATACATAAAATCAGCATCCTATTCATTTTTGCGAAATCCATGTCCCATCTGCTTTCATGATCTTAATGTGACTTTTTCTTTCATGAACATTAAACAATGGAGGTCAGCCTCAGAATTGTTCCTCCATGAAAAATTGAGCCAATCATGGCAGTCTTTACTTTCCAGTATAATTGACTGTTTGTATGTTAGCATCAGATGCAAAAAAGACCAGTCATAGCCTTTTCCAGGGATGATCACTTGCAGCTGGTGAGAGCAGACCTTTTTCCGATGGTAAAACTTGATTGGTAAAGCATGGGAATTACTACCAGCTGATATGGATCATCACTGCATTTTAGGTGATAAATACCATTTTCTTCAAGCTTTTCTGTGTTAACTGATCCTTTTTTTTTTTTAATGAGAAAAAGTACTA